AGTGCATTCAGAAAGTATTCAGACCCCCTGTATGTTTTAAGGTTGTTATGTTGTAAAAACATTTTTTTGTTTTTTCTCATTAGTCTACAGTCCTGGCCAAAAGTTTTGAGCATGGCACAAATATTAATTTTCATAAAGTCTTCTGCCTCTGTTTTTTTATGGCAATTTGCATATACTCCATAATGTTAAGAAGAGTGATCCGATGAATTGCAATTAATTGCAAAGCCCCTCTTTGCCATGAAAATGAACTTAATCCCCCCAAAAAAACATTTCCACTGCATTTCAGCCCTGCCACAAAAGATCCAACTGACATCATGTCAGTGATTCTCTCATTAACACAGGTGTCAGTGTTGATGAGGACTAGGCTGGAGATCACTCTGTCATGCTGATTGAGTTATAATAACAGAGTGAAGCTTTAAAATGAGGGTGGTGCTTAAAATCATTGTTCTTCCTCTGTTAACTATGGTTACCTGCAAGGAAACACGTGCAGTCATTATTACTTTGCACAAAAAAGGGATTCATAGGCAAGGATATTGCTGCTACTAAGATTGCAGCTAAATCAACCATTTATCGGAGCATCAAGAACTTCAAGGAGAGAGGTTCAATTGTTGTTAAGAAGGCTTCAGGGAGCCCAGGAAAGTCCAGCAAGCACCAGGACTGTCTCCTAAAGTTGATTCAGCTGTGGGATCAGGGCACCACCAGTGCATAGCTTGCTCAGGAATGGCAGCAGGCAGGAGTGATGCATCGGCACGCACAGTGAGGCAAAGACTTTTGAGGATGGCCAAGTGTCAAGAAGGGCAGCAAAGAAGCCACTTCTCTCCAGGAAAAACATCAGGGACAGACTGATATTCTGCAAAAGGTACAGGGATTGGACTGCCGAGGGCTGGGGTAAAGTAATTTTCTCTGATAAATCCCCTTTCCGATTGGGGCATCCGGAAAAAAAAAAACCCTGTCCGGAGAAGAAAAGGTGAGCGCTACCAGCAGTCCTGTGTCAGTAAAGCATTCTGAGACCATTCATATGTGGGGTTGCTTCTCAGCCAAGGGAGTCGGCTCACTCACAATTTTGCCTAAGAACACAGCCATGAATAAAGAATGGTACAAAAACATCCTTCGAGAACAACTTCACCCAACCATCCAAGAACAGTTTGTTGACGAGCAATACCTTTTCCAGCATGAGGAAGCACCTTGCCATAAGGCAACAGCGATAACTAAGTGTCTTGGGGAACAAAACATTGAAATTTTGGGTCCATGGCCAGGAAACTCCTCACGATTGAATCCCATTGAGAACTTGTGGTCAAGCCTCAAGAGGTGGGTGAACAAAAAACGCCCACAAATTCTGACAAACTCCAAGCATTAATTATGCAAGAATGGGCTGCCATCAGTCAGGATGTGGCCCAGACGTTGGTTTACAGCATGCCAGGGGGAATCGCAGAGGTCTTGAAAAAGAAGGGTCAACACTGCAAATATTGACTCTTTGCATAAACTTCATATAATTGTCAATAAAAGCCTTTGACACTAATGAAATGCTTGTAATTATACTTCAGTATTCCAGAGTAACATCTGACAAAAAGATCTAAAAACACTGAAGCCACAGACTTTGTGAAAATTAATATTTGTGTCATTCTGAAAACTTTTGACCGCAGCTGTACACTCAGTATCCCATAATGACAATGTGAAAACAGAATTTTAGAAATGTTTTCAAATGTATGAAAAAGGAAAAACTGAAATATCAAATTGGCATAAGTATTCAGACCCTTTGCAACAACGATTAAAATATAGCTCAGGTGCCTCCCATTTCTCTTGATCGTTGCTGAGATATTTCTACACCTTGATTGGAGTCCATCTGAGGTAAATTCAATTGATTGGACATGATTTGGAAAGGCACACACCTCTCTATAAAATGTCTCACAGATGACAATGCATACTGTATCTGAGCAAAAGCCATGCGGTCAAAGGAACTGCCTGCAGAGCTCAGAGACAAGATTATTGTAAGGCACAGTTCTTGGGAAGGCTACAAAACATTTCTGCTGCACTGAAGGTTCCCAAGAGCACAGTGACCTCCATAATTCTCAAATGAAAGAAGTTTGGCACAACCAGGACTCTTCCAAGAGCTTGTTGACCAGCAAAACTATTTAAGGGGCATCCTTCCCACTGATAACCAATGTGAGGAGCATTCTTCCCACTGACCTCCAATGTAAGGGGCATTCTTCCCACTGACTACTAATAAAAGGGGCATTCTTCCCACTGATCACCAATGTAAGGAGCATTCTTCCCACTGACCACCAATGTAAGGAGCATTCTTCCCACTGACCTCCAATGTAAGGGGCATTCTTCCCACTGGCCACCAATGTAAGGGGCATTCTTCCCACTGACCTCCAATGTAAGGGACATTCTTCCCACTGATCATAAATGTAAGGAGCATTCCTCAAACTGATCTCCAATGTAAGGAGCATTCCTCACACTGATCTCCAATGTAAGGAGCATTCCTCAAACTGATCTCCAATGTAAGGAGCATTCTCCCCACTGATCATAAATGTAAGGAGCATTCTTCCCACTGATCACCAATGTAAGGAGCATTCTTCCCGCTGATCACCAATGTAAAGAGCATTCTTCCCACTGATCACGAATGTAAGGAGCATTCTTCCCACTGATCACCAATGTAAGGGGCATTCTTCCCACTGACCACCAATGTAAGGGGCATTCTTCCCACTGACCACCAATGTGAGGGACGTCTTCCCACTGACAACCAATGTAAGGGACATTCTTCCCACTGATCACCAATGTAAGGGACATTCTTCCCACTGATCACCAATGTAAGGGACATTCTTCCCGCTGATCACCAAAGTAAGGGACATTTTTCCCACTGACCCCCAATGTGAGGAGCATTCTTCCCACTGACCACCAATGTAAGGGACATTCTTCCCACTGACCACCAATGTAAGGGATGTCTTCCCACTGACCACCAATGTAAGGGACGTCTTCCCACTGACCACCAATGTAAGGAGCATTCTTCCAACTGATCTCCAATGTAAGGAGAATTCTCCCCACTGATCATGAACGTAAGGAGCATTCTTCCCACCCACTGATCTCCAATGTAAGGGGTCTTCTTCCCACTGATCTCCAATGTAAGGAGCATTCTTCCCACTGACCACCAATGTAAGGGACATTCTTCCCACTGACCACCAATGTAAGGGGCATTCTTCCCACTGACCACCAATGTAAGGGGCATTCTTCCCACTGATCACCAATGTAAGGGACGTCTTCCCACTGACCACCAATGTAAGGAGCTTGAAAGGTGTTTATTCACTGTAAACATTTTCGAATATGCAGTGGGCTGTTGTGAATATTGTGCCCGATATTCAGGGTTAATCACGCTCTCCGGGGTCACTGACCATACAGGTATTTGCAGATGCAGCAATGGCTGGGACACAGCCAAGAATTCTGACACATCAAACGACCTTTGACTGAAATGGCTGAAGGGACAGATAAGGCGATATATAAGGTGATATACTCTACATGTGAGCAATCTGTAGTGCCATATGAGAAGTGACACAAAACTAAGTGACACCCTTTTATCTGGACTCCATTTCTGTTGCTGGTAACGATGTTGCTTACTGTCCACATGCCACATCTGCAATGCTTTGCATCATGGCCACAGAAAAAATAATACCCCCAGTTGTGTTTAGCGGGCAGTTCCACCAAAGATGTGACCCAATCAAGTGACAGCAGTGCAGACATTTAAAGGTGCTCAGGAGGCAACATATCGCCTCTCAGCCGCCAGTCAACTGCCATCTGAAAAGCAATCCACCGTGGATCACTTTTGAGAGGGTCAGCAAGGTTTGCCGCAAAACTAGGCCTTAAAGAGGGACAGTTCCTCCCATAGAGATAGGTTAGGGAGCTATATCTAGCGTGCATTATGTTGCATGTTGACACTCATTACACTAAGGCAACTCATTCTTGGATTGTCAAGGAACTGCAATAGACAAAAAAAAAGTCTTTTTTTTTTTGCAAATTTGAGCGGGGGCAGGCTGACTGGGAGGCACAAACGCCTTAGGCGTTTAGCAGTAGGGGGTACAAAAAGGGCAGAATGTCTGCACTGAAGAAGCTACAATGCCCCCCATCTGTAAGTCCAGGCCTAACAGCAGGCTAGCGGATCTACAATATAAATATTTCATATGTACCACTTGCAGAGAAGCAGTTGTTTAGTATTCAAAAAGGAGCACTAGCTTACTGCTGCTCCAAAAAATAGCTATGCTGTAAAAGAAAAAAAAAAAAAAGGCCGGGGAGATGAGATTACACACAGCTGAGTCAGAGGAATTAACCCCCTCCCCTCTCTCCTAGCATAGAAGGGGTCGCATTAATTGCTCAACTCCCTTTCTACAGGCAATGGTCAATCCGCTTAGAAATCCTGTTATGTTCACCACTGTTACACTTGGGGGCTTATTTATAAATCAGTGAATTTGACATTCACCAAACATTCACTACAGATAAATTGCTTGTGGCTTAAATGACAGAAATGTATTCACCACCAGTGAATGTTTGGTGAGAGCCGCATTAAAGTGTTACTAAACCCAGGACCCTGCATTCACTATACCTGGTCTCCCAGGACCCTGCATTCACTATACCTGGTCTCCCAGGACCCTGCATTCACTATATCTGGTCACCCCGGACCCTGCATTCACTATACCTGGTCTCCCAGGACCCTGCATTCACTATACCTGGTCTCCCAGGACCCTGCATTCACTATATCTGGTCTCCCCCCCGACCCTGCATTCACTATATCTGGTCTCCCAGGACCCTGCATTCACTATATCTGGTCTCCCCGGACCCTGCACTCACTATATCTGGTCTCCCCGGACCCTGCATTCACTATATCTGGTCTCCCCGGACCCTGCATTCACTATATCTGGTCTCCCCGGACCCTGCATTCACTATATTTGCTGTCCCCGGACCCTGCATTCACTATATCTGGTCTCCCCGGACCCTGAATTCACTATATCTGGTCTCCCCGGACCCCGCATTCACTATACCTGGTCTCCCAGGACCCTGCATTCACTATATCCGGTCTCCCCGGACCCTGCATTCACTATATCCGCTCTTCCCGGACCCTGCATTCACTATATCCGGACTCCCCGGACCCTGCATTCACTATATCTGGTCTCCCCGGACCCTGCATTCACTATATCCGGTCTCCCAGGACCCTGCATTCACTATATCTGGTCTCCCACAGTGCACATAAAATGGAAATACAATTAATTTAGTAAATATAAACAGCTAAATACCTTTTCTCATTAGCAGTATATAGCAGTCTTGTGACTTCTATCAGTGTCCAGCTGAGCACTGGTTAAAGCTTGTGGAAGGAGTTTTCATTCACCCCTGATTGTCCTATGAGGCTGCATAACCCCTGACCCTCTGTCTGGACAGTGCTGATTGGCCCTGTGCTGATCACATGCACCCTCTCAAGAAGAAGAAAAAAAAAAACTTCCAAGCAATACACACCAAACCAAGCATGTGGAGCTTGCCTCCAAGGCTCTGTTCTATCAGCAGGTGGATTGGGGACAGTCAAAGAAGGGGAGGATCAGAGAAGACAGGATCAAACAGCCTTTTTACGCAGTGCAGAGGATTAACCCCTTATGTTCCACAGTGAGTGTAACAAGCATGCTTTACTGCATATACAGACTGATTGTACTGTTGTGGGTTTAGTAACACTTTAACTGCTATATAAATAGGCCTCTAAATGTGTATGCAAACCCCAATGATAATCCTCTCTGATTTCATCCCTTTATAGGTTTTATCTGTTCAATAAGTACCTGTGCTGCACTGTTATTGGAAGGAAGTGTCATTAGTTCTCTTTGTGGACTAAAAAATACCTCCCCTCTATGGTATGGGAATCCAATGTGAAACTTTACTGTGCTGTACTGAACCTGTGCAGAGAGCAGAGCTGTGGGAGGGACCCAGCAGGCTCCACCTACTACAGGCTGCCTGCAGAAAAAAACTACTGGAGGGGGCGGAGACAAGACCAGTCACCCTGCACATGGAGAGAGAGCAGCAGTGAGTGGTCTTTATCACAGGAAGTCTCACACAGGATTACTGCACAGATCTGGAAGAAATACACAAAGCACATCAAGATTCAAGAAGAATACACGCCCTCGGCTAAGTATTCATGTTCACAGAGCAGTCGACTTGTCAAAAATCTGCAGAATGGTTGAGGACCTTTGCCTGGTATTTATTAATCCAATGATTACCGACTGTGCCTTCTTATCAAGACACTGTGTTTGAAAACAAAGTCCTCTACCCCCCCCCCCCCCCCGTGCTACACAAATATCTCCTCATTAATGAAAATCAACACAATGTCTTTGTCACCCAACCTCTGTATAAGGGTTTGTTCAGATGTGCGGCTATCATCACCACCCCGCCGAAAAGCGTTCTGCTGTTCATTGCTTTTCCGATGGCGTTTGAGGGATATGCTCCTTTAACCCTCAAAATGATGACGCAACATTTGCTTGAATGGGTTGTGTTCAGCAGTGGTACTGCCCGAATGTGACATGAAATTTCATTTTTGCAAAGCATTGCGGTCTCCCCGTGTGTACAGCCCTGAGCCGTTGCATTTCTGTGTTTATGGTCAGGGGCAGGATTGTTTGGGATTGGCGGTTAAAACACCAGTTCAATGGCTTCCTTTTTCAACCCCCCTTACTGCCAATGTGAATGACCCCTAAGGCATTTGCGGTTGGTGGGGTGGTAAAAGCAGGCAGTTGAGCCTTATTTTTACCATCCCCCAACCACTTCCCTTTAAGCTGCAAATGCAGCCAGATGGGGTTGTAGGCTTGTTTAGCAGTGCTTCAAGAATTATAACCCCTGTTGCGTTTGGGACCACTGGCCAAGCATGACTGATTCAAGTGAATGTGACCATGCCAGTACCGTTCTGTGCCAAACCTTTAGCAGTAAACTGGCTAAAAAAGACAATAAGCCATTTCACAGTTTTAGAAGTCAATGGGTTAAAACATTAAAGGCACAGTCCTCTACCAGCCCTCTAGTAGTGCCAAGAAGTGAATGGGTTGAAAAAAAAGAGAACACTTCCACTCATTTCCAGCTGTCTAGCAGTTATCGAGTTAAAAAGAGAACAGTGCATCCCTCTGCCTTCTCTCTAGTAGTGAATGGGTTAACAGGACAAAAACTCAGCCCTTTCCCAATTCTCTAATAGTGAATGGGTTAAATAGATAATGGTGCAGACCTCCGCCAGACCTCTAGTGGAGAATGAGTTAAAAAAACAATGGTGATCTTGCACATAGCACTGTAGTAATGAATGGGTTTAAAAAGCAAATACCGCCTCTCAAGTCTTGTCTGAGATGTAGTGAATGGGTTAAAAGAGAATGGTTCGGCTTGTTTAGAGCTCTTTAGAAGTTAATGGGTTAAAACAGACAATGGTGCAGCCCAATGCCAAATCTCTAGCAGTGAATGGGTTAATAAGAGAATACCACTTCCCAAAAAGTGAATGGGTTAAAAAAAAGAGACTAGGTTAGCTAATTTTCAGCTCTCTAGTAGCTAATGGGTTAAAAAAATGCAATGGTGCGGCCCTCTGCCAGCTCTCTAGTAGTGAATAGGTTACAAAGTTAAAGGTGCAGTCCTCTGCCAACCCTCTAGTAGTGAATGGGTTAAAAAGAAAATACCAAATCCCAAGAAGTGAATGGATGAAAAAAGAGACTAGGTCAGCTCATTTACAACTCTCTAGGAGGTAATGGGTTAAAATAAACAATGTTGCAGCCCGGTGCCAGCTCACTAGTAGTGAATGGGTTAAAAAGAAAATTCCGCCTCCCAAGAAGTGAATGGGTTAAAAAAGAGAATAGGTCCACTTATTTCCAGCTCTCTAGTAGTGAATGGGTTAAAAAGAATATTTCAGCTCATTCCCAGCTCTCTAGCAGTGAATGGATTAAAGGGACAATAACTCCTCCCTCTCCCAGTTTTAGAAATGAATGGGTTAAAAAGTTAAAGGAGCAGTCCTCTGCCAGCCATGTAGTAGTGAATAGGTTAAAAAGAAAATACCGCTTCCCAAGAAGTGAATGAGCTAAAAAAGAGACTAAGTCAGCTCATTTCCAGCTCTCTGGGAGTTAATGGGTTAAAAAAAGACAATGGTGCAGCCCTCTGCCAGCTCTAGTAGTGAATGGGTTAAAATTAAATATCCAGCTCATTTCCAGCTCTCTAGTAGTGAATGGGTTAAAAAGAAAGATTGGGCTCATTCCAGCTCTCTAGTAGCGAGTGGGTGGGTTAAAAAGAAAGATTCAGCTCATTTCCAGCTCTCTAGGAGTTAATGGGTTAAAATAGACAATGGTGCAGTCCAGTGCCAGCTCACTAGTACTGAATGGGTTAAAAAGAAAATACCGCCTCCCAAGAAGTGAATGGGTTAAAAAAGAGAATAGGTTCACTTATTTGCAACTTTCTAGTAGTGAATGGTTTAAATGGACAATAACTCCTCCCTCTCCCAGTTCTAGAAGTGAATGGGTTAAAAAGTTAAAGGAGCAGTCCTTTGCCAGCCGTCTAGTAATGAATGGGTTAAAGAGAAAATATTGCCTCCCAAGAAGTAAATGGGTTAAAAAAGAAACTAGGTCAGCTCATTTCCAGCTTTCTAGGAGTTAATGGGTTAAAAGGAAAGATTCGGCTCATTTCCAGCTCTGTAGGAGATAATGGGTTAAAATAGACAATGGTGCAGTCCAGTGCCAGCTCACTAGTACTGAATGGGTTAATAAGAAAATACTGATTCCCAAGCAGTGAATGGGTTAAAAAAGAGAATAGGTCCACTTATTTGCAGCTCTCTAGTAGTGAATGGGCTAAAAAGAATGTTTCAGCTCATTCCCAGCTCTCTAGTAGTGAATGGATTAAAGTGACAATAACTCCTCCCTCTCCCAGTTCTAGTAGTGAATGGATTAAAGTGACAATAACTCCTCCCTCTCCCAGTTCTAGTAGTGAATGGGTTAAATGGACAATAACTCCTCACTCTCCCAGTTCTAGTAGTGAATGGTTTAAATGGACAGTAACTCCTCCCTCTCCCAGTTCTAGAAGTGAATGGGTTAAATGGACAGTAACTCCTCCCTCTCCCAGTTCTAGAAGTGAATGGGTTAAATGGACAATAACTCCTCCCTCTCCCAGTTCTAGAAGTGAATGGGTTAAATGGACAGTAACTCCTCCCTCTCCCAGTTCTAGAAGTGAATGGGTTAAATGGACAGTAACTCCTCCCTCTCCCAGTTCTAGTAGTGAATGGGTTAAATGGACAGTAACTCCTCCCTCTCCAAGTTCTAGAAGTGAAGTCCTCTACCAGCCCTCTAGTAGTGAATGGGTTAAATGGGCAGTAACTCCTCCCTCTCCCAGTTCTAATAGTGAATGGATTAAATGGACAGTAACTCCTCCCTCTCCCAGTTCTAGTAGTGAATGGATTAAATGGACAATAACTCCTCCCTCTCCCAGTTCTAATAGTGAATGAGTTAAATGGACAATAACTCCTCCCTCTCTAAGTTCTAGAAGTGAAGTCCTCTACCAGCCCTCTAGTAGTGAATGGGTTAAAGAGAAAATACCGCCTCTCAAGAAGTGATTGGGTTGAAAAAAGAGACCGGTTCCACTCATTTCCAGCTCTCTAGGAGTTATTGGTTTAAAAAGAGAACGGCTCCTCCCTCTGCCAGCTCTCTAGTAGTGAATGGGTTAAAAGGACCATGGCACAGCCTTCTTCTAGCTCCGGAGTAAACAATGGGTTAAATAAACAGGTACGCAGCGTTCCTCTGCCTCTCCACCAATGAATGGGATGCTGAGGAAGGTGTACATGACCACACGTCCACTTTCTTTTATTAACACACAGACATAGCCCTCCTGGTATCGTTCAGGTGGTGACACCGCAGATGCCTGGTGTCACTGTTACCGTTCAGTTGTTGTGGAGGTAGCGAGGGATGTCGTTTTCTTACATCGATCGCGGTTTAGTACCATCACTCTTCCAGCTCTGCAAAGTTTAATGTAAAAACTTTATTGGAGGTCCCTGGCGGTGCATGGGTTAACAAGGCGAGCTCTGTGCAGGAACCAGCCTTCCTCTCCCTGGCCCAGAGGAGGCACTGTTGTCACCCAGCCTATTATCAGCATTGTCCTGAATGCCAGCCTGAGGACGCCAGTCCTGCTATGTGACAGCCACCATGGGACCCCTGGGTGCAGGTAAGAGACCCTCTCCCTCTATGATAGCACACCTGGGGAGCTGCACACGGCACAGACCGGGGGGGGGGGGGGGGGACAGATGTATACATATCCAGGAAACTATTTCAAGGGACAAAAAAAAATAATTAAAAAAAAAACAAAACAAATTGGTGGACCTTGAAAGTGTGCAGGATGGAAAGGGTTAATGATGCTTTCATTGCGGTTACTAAGGCTGCGCCACGTAGGGTGTGTCTGGGGAAAAATCTGTCCATATAGATGATCGCGTTAGTCCATGGGAGGTTTTTTTGCTAAGCTTTTTAACATAGACTATTATTTTATTAAAACCCCATAAACAATGATATTTAAAAAAAAAGACAAAAAAAA